TTCACCAACTCAGGATTTCTACTATGCAGGTCCCCTGCTCATAGATTCTATCAAGATTTATTCGTAATAATAAATTATTACTTAATGCAATAACAGATATTAGATAATAACTTAGAAGGTAAAAGGGTTAGCTAATATCTTAGGTTATACAAACTATAATAATAGCCAATCAAAATTAAGAATTATTAAAATATAATTATAATTTAATATAAGAAAAATATACTTTTTGTATAATAAAATTAAACATTTTAATTGGTCTTAGGTGGAAGGGAGGGGTATAGGCTCATAGTAAATAGATATTAGGTAATATCTGTCACTGCTCTTATCTCTTATTTAATATTAAGTAGTGTTAAGTATTTATTATATTATTTGTATTATATAATAGTCAGAAGTAAGTGATCAAAATTAAGAATAATTTTATACAATTTTAAATTTTTAATTTTTATTTATCATGTATATATTTTTATATTAAGTTTTAAAATTTTAAGAATTTACAACTCCAAAAATATTCTTTTTACATATTCCAATAAATTTTCAATTATTGCATCGTCTGATACTTCTTAAACTTCATTTGAATTATTTTCATTAACATTATCATATTTATTATCTTCAATAAATTTATTTTCATCTAAATCTTTTTTTAAAGTTTTTAATAATAAATCAGTATTTTTGTAATTTTATTTCGTAAATAATTCAAACAAATAAAATATTTAAATTGCTAATTCTATAAGCAATAACTATGATAACTATATCTGCATACTAAAATGCTTCTATTAGACAAATCAAGAGAATTATTACAATAAGTAGAATTACACAGAGTGTTAAGATCAAGTTTTTTTTAAGTAACAAAACCTCTCAAACATCAGGAAGTACATTTTCGTATAACATCTATATAGATCTACAACTTTATATAATTATTATATAAAATGTATATGAAAATTATATATGCTAATTTTTATGTATTTTTTAAATAAAATTTATATAAAAATTTATTTAAATTTATATAAATAAAATTTTATATAAAAAATTTATTTAAATTTATATATTTATAAAATTTACATATTATAATTACATAACTTTTATATATTGTAAAATTTAGATTAAAAATTTAGATAAATGTTATATATTATAAATTTTACATACAATAATTATATAACTTTTATATACTTGTAAAATTTAAATAAAATTTTTATATAAGTTTTACATATTAATAAATTTTATATAAAATCTATATATATAAATTATATATAACTATATAAACTATATAGCTATTGATTAAATATGTAAGTATTAACGTAATATGAATTCATCATATTGAATTGTGGAACAATATAAACCACATTATTAATCGACTTTATCAGAATCATATTGTAAATATTTGTGAATTACAAGTAAGGGCATTCATATCTATAAAATTTTGAAGTAGCATTCAGATATTTAAAATCGTACCAACAGATAAGTGCAAGGTCGAATGTTGAAGCATCTTCTAACATGATACGAACCAATAATAAAACCTATAAAATATTATAAATTGAATTAAATAATATAAAAAGAATACTGTATATTTTAGATACTGTATATACCTTTGCGAAGCAGTATCCATCATATGTTTCAAATTCTTGTTCTGAGTCCATAAAATTGCAACATCACTAAACATAGGTGCATTATAATAATCTTTTGTAGCTCTTACTTGCTCTTTATTAGATAATGTAAAGGATTCATATAAAATTAACATTGCTTCCATTTTTTCTATATCTTTTCTAATCATAGAAGGCAAAAGTTTAAAATAGTCACTCATCGCAGAAGCAAGATGACATAAACCCTCAAGAATTTCAGAAATACTTCCTTCATCACGTTCATACGATTCAACAAGTGACTTTAGAAAGTGTAAAGGCATAGTACAATATTTTTTTTCAAATTTTCCTAGGTCTTTTTTAATTTTTGATCAGTAGTTTTCTGAAATAATGTGTTTATAAATGTCTCTAATCGTAATTGTTCATATTATCTGATAGGTATTAAATTAGCTTGTAAGTATAAATTAATAGTTAAATAGCAGTACAAATTAAATGAATAAACTTTTTGTAAAATCTGGTTATTAATGTTATGTTTGTTGGACATTCTGTAAGAAATTTTAATATATTCCTTATGAAGCACTTCATATGTTTCGGCACTTAATCCATTTAAGTTCCCATACTCTTCAATTGTTTCAATTGTATGATGTATCCAATGGTGAAATTTTAGAAACTGACAATCATTTTTTGTAAATAGTCCAAGAATGTCTATAAAATTTTTTGCTCATGTTCGAATCGAAATCTATTAAAAAAATAATAAATAAATAAATAAATAAAAAACTAACTAGCACTATTAATATCACTAGTATTAGAGATGTAAACCAAATCGAATATAGTAGATTCAACAATTGTATCATAGCTATATTGTAATTCAGATCAGTGTTCTCATGAGAATATATCTTTAGATTTAAGAACATTTGATATTGTGTAAATGTTCTCTATGAAAAAAATTTTGAGAACATAATACTCGAAAATATGTCCTCTATATAAGTATAAATAAGTATAATAGCATAATAAGAATCGAGAAAATTCAAAATTATCTAAAAAAAAATAAATAAACATAATGATGAGAAGGGTTGGACAAAAATTAAAATAAATGTTCGATATTTTTGAAAATAAGAAATTCAAAAAATAGGAATACGGTATGAATAAATTTTACTGATGAGATATTGAGAATATAAATAAATTTCTGAAATCATTAAATTAAATAAATATGTTCTCATGAGAAAATAAATCTCAAAACAGATTTCCATCACTGATTCAGATTATGCGTCGTTGACTAGAGCGTGAATGGTAAAATAAATATGTTATTATTGTTTAGTGCTGCAAAAGAATTATTTCTACAATTTTAAAAATAATTTCACTGCACTATCACCTGTGTCATCCCGCACTATGTTTGTTTCGTAGAATTTATTGATCCTTTAGATTTAAGATATGCAAAAAGAAATAGGCAAAGGTTTGGGTTTCAAATCGAGTTTGGAACATCAATAAGTGTCAACTCCTAAACCCAAATTAAGTAAAAACCTTATTGTGTTTGATTTATATTGCTAACTAGTATGAATTTGATTGTTTAATAACTGTAATAAAAAATATTTATTATATAAATAAAATTATACTAACTTCAAACTGAACAAGATCAGTTTGAGTAAATTTGCTTTGTTTTGAATAAAAATACATTTTATTCCAATTGACAAACATTTGAATAAGTAATTCATTTTCTTTTCTTTTAAAAAGACTTTCGAGAACAAAAGGCATAACTTTCATCATGTGCCTGTATTCTGATGCTGTAAACAATGCAAGATCGACAAGTCCAGTACTGAATATCTTTAGCTCTGGATAACGTGATATCAATCTGAGCCTTTGATCCATTTTATTAACAAGTGTATTTCCACCATAAACTTTCAAAAGATCACGTGTAAATCTGACCATATATGAAAAGAGCCCAAGGTCCAGATAGTGCATTTGTTCAAAAACCATAGCTGTATAAATATTAAAGTTTCTACATAGTAGTAGAAGATAAAGTATATGTTTAAACAAATTTTTTAGTACTATTATTTAAATTGTAAATAACAAATCACTTACGGATGATTCCAAAAACTATTGGTTTCTTCATGTAATAAGTGGTCTTTGCCTTGTCCTATTTCAATGGCTTGTCTCATTTGGATTTCTGTTCTAGTAATCTTGCGATTAGCGAGTAAGTTAATAACATTTAAATCATCTTTTCCTACAAGACAGATATGACAAGAACAAGCGTAACTAGTTCCACTATAAGTTAAACATGATTTGCAGTTTTTAGGCCAATTCCCAATAATAGAAGCTAACATTATATTACATCTCAAATTATAATTGTTAATCTTTAATGATACTCCAGAATGATACTATGAACGTAATAGCTTAATCAATATATTAATACATTTGTGAAAAATTAATTGAATTAATTGCCTGAACTGTGGTGTTTACCATTCTTTCTTTGTTCCTTGCAATGTTGGTATGATACCAACAAGTGCTTTAGCTTCAGCTTTATTTCGAAGAGTTGTTGGAATATTACCCAAACTTATAAATATCGGATGCTGTGAACTCTTCCCTAAATAGTCTAGTATAGTTGCATCAGAGTATAGTATTATAGGTAATACTTTATTTCCAGACAGAATATGTTGTTGTGCAAGACTCCACCATTTAGAATTATAAAATTCAGAGAATAGTCTTTCTTGGTGCCTCTATAAAGTAGAATTATTAATATATAAGCCTATTTATATGAAGACCAGATTATAAAATTAATGCATTTTTAATTTATATTTATATCTATGTACGTTTCACCTGATTTCAAATATATTTATAAGATTGTATATTAATAACTAAGTTATTGTTTTTTTTAAGAACTGTGTTGATATTTTTATTGGTTAACCATAGTTAAATCGAAATTAGGAGAGATGCATACGTAAACATAAATTTAAAATACATTACAGTAATATTATAGCTATGTATAATATATATAAGAATTTTACTTACTTCAACTAACGTGTAAACTTCCTGATAATCAAAAATACAACTTTTAGTAATTTCTTGATGTTGAAGAATCTCTTTGACCGCAGAAATAATTGGCCTATATTCAAATAAATACGTTTAGTCTTTAATTTGTATAACAGGAGTTGAATGAAACTTCGTATGATCCTTCCTCAATGTGTCCAAGAAAAGAAGGCTATCTTTTGTTGATC